GAGGTCTTTATGGATTATTTTATTAGTGACAAAGTAAGGAGCATTGAGGATTTTTCGAAGGATTTTGGATTGTAAAGATTGAATACGAGAGGAATTTGATGGTTTAGTGGAGCCCCATAGCTCAACTCCATAAGTCCAAATAGGTCTTATTATAGTCATGTATATGAGTCGTTTGTAATTAATTGGAAGTTTAGAGCGTTTGTCCAGTAAGTGTTGGAGTAAGCGGAAACGTCGAGCAGTTTCTTGTCGTTTCAGTCTTGTATGAGGATTCCAAGTGAGACGTTTGTCCAGCTGGAGTCCTAGGTATCGGATTTGTTCTACAGGGATAAGTGGGGTGTTATTAAAGGATACTATAGGACAGCAAGTCATTGGTTTACGACGAAGGGTAAAGGTGATTTGATGGGATTTATTGGAATTTATTTTAATCCTCCAGTTTGACACCATTCTTCAAGGTTTGTGATGTGTGATTGAAGAGTTTGGGATGCAATTGTTGGATCATTATTAACTGACAGGATACATGTGTCATTAGCATACGTAGTGATGACAGTGTTAGGATGGGTTGGGATGTCAGCTGTATAAACTGTGTAAAGGATAGGACCAAGGATACTACCTTGAGGAACTCCGGCAGATTGAGAAAAGAGGGATGAATAGGTATTATTGTGATTTACTTTGAAGTGTCTATCAGTAAGATAGGAACTGATGATAAGAAAATATGTAGGGGGAAGGAATTTACGGAGTTTGTAAAGCAATCCCGGATGCCAGACTCGGTCAAACAGTCATGAAAATTGTATGGCTGATTATTAAAACACTTTATTCAGAAATATTACAATTTGTCACAGTTAAGGACACTTTCATGAAAATTAAAGTTAAGAAATCCTTTCTCGTAACTTCAGTATTGTACGAAAATTTCCTTTCGAACCAGTATATTATAAGCTTATAGTTATTTATAATATGAATATAAATATGAATTATTAAAATTCAGATACGAATATTCTTAATAAAATGCTTCTTATTCAAATTGTCACGAAATCCTATCCGTTTCTGACTATATAAGACTTTCTCGATACTCTCAGAAGAATCTTGGAAAGTCTTTGAGAGATCCAGGTTGTCGCAGACGATATTGACATCTACCTCTGTGACAGATAAAAAGAACGAAATATTTCCACACTTGACGAAATCAGAAATGACAAGATCTGAGTTGAGTGCCTCCTGGAAGTTGGTGGTACAACTTGTTATACCTTCTTCGTGTTCCTTATCACAGGCGGTTATACTGGGGGGAAAGGGAGGGGATTTCGGACTGAAGCCTCCCTCCCACAAAAGATTAAAATATAACCATGTCTAATGAAATAGGATTAGAAAATTATCTTTAAAAGTGTTATTGTTCGTGTTAAAAAACATTTTATATAGGCAGTTTCTCTCTTCTTCTTCTAAAGTAATTGTCGTTTATAATATATATATATATATATATATATATATATATATATATATATATATATATATATATATTTTTTTTTTTTTTTTTTTTTTTTTTTTTTCTCGGTTGGCTCTACAGACCATGAAGATCTTTGGCCGCGAGTGTGATCTCCTAGACCACATCCCGATTCCCGATTTAAAATACGGGGTAGGGTCATCAAAGCCCGGTCGGTGTGAGTTGCCTCCAATAGTCTGACGTGGGATGGAGCCCTCCTTCTCCAAAATTAAATTCTGGATCCGCTAGTGTTAGATTTTTTCTATTTTACTATACAGGATTTTTTTTTTAAATATTAATTTTAATACTTTGGCTATTCTTTGTATGAAGAAGAAATCTTAGAAGTTGGTAATATCGTTCTATTTGTATTCTATTTTATAAAACAGAACCTTTTCCGTGAAATTTGTAAGATACTTTAAGTCTTTATGTTACATTCATTTGCTTAATCTTCTTAAACTTCAACACTATTAAACTCCGTTAATTATTTTTATAGGTTATCAAAAAGTTTTAATTAGATATGAAATAACTTTTTGTTCTCTTAACAGCAGTTTCTTCCAGGTCGATTATTATAAGTCTTCAGCCCATCTTAAATAAAACTTTCCAATGACTGCAAATAGTTATGTTCAATTTACTTCAGCCATTATTTATTTTGAAAAAAAATGATGATCTGCTATAATAAGCATATTTTGGTGATGTAATAAGTTTCAGAGTTCATAACAAGCATTGATGTTTATGTAAAGCCCAAGGACATCGATTTTTTTTTTATAAATGTAAATGTCTTAAAACATCGTTATTCATTCTCTCTGGACATTAGACTAGAAAACATTTATCCAGAATAAAAGGTAATACGTTTTTAAGTAGTTTATTTATAGTTTCATTGTAATTTTATAATCATCATTAATAATGGTTTAATTATTTTTTGGCATTGCAAGATATGGAAAAGCTTAATTCTTTTGCGTGTACATGTCTGACAATTTTTTCGAGAAATTTTTTCTTAGTTATAACTCAGGACCACGAGAAACAATTATTACGTTGAAAAGAAGGGACTTAGAAGAAGGGCCTTCTAATAAGAAAAGTACAAGTAGAGATATCTTGGTTTCTTATATATATATATATATATATATATATATATATATATATATATATATATATATATATATATAAGAATCGAAGCAATATTACGAAAGTTCAATTTTTCCGAGCCTTATCCACCTTTTAGCATATATATATATATATATATATATATATATATATATATATATATATATAAGAATCGAAGCAATATTACGAAAGTTCAATTTTTCCGAGCCTTATCCACCTTTTAGCATATATATATATATATATATATATATATATATATATATATATATATATATATATATATATATATATATATATATATCCATGATCGCAATATTCTACTGAGAATAACATACTCCTATGCTAAAAGGTGGACAAGGCTCGGAAAAATTGAACTTTCGTAATATTGCTTCGATTCTTGCTACGCATATCATACTTTATCGTAGATAATGGAAATAATGTGAGATTGTATGGAGTCGTCCAGATAATGGAGAATGGATGACGTTCCTAAAAAAGTGAATAGAATGGTTTGGCAAATATGGAGTTCTTATAAGAAAAAAAAATAATATTCTTCAAGAAATAATAAAAAGAACATTAGACATGTTTAAGAGATTAATTATCTAGTATTTATTTGTACATTGAAGGCGAGAGTAAAATTAAAATTAATATTAAACTTTATTATGAGAAGATACGTCTTCTTACATTAATGTAATTGATTTTTTTTTTCCACAAAAAGATTTAAAATATTTCATTTATTGCAGATTTGGCTCGAAATCCATATTTCTCCTTTAATTCCAAACTCCTTGTTTACCCTAAATCTGTAATTCACAATATTTCATCCAAAACTACTCTTGTCAACTCTTCTAGGCGTATAAAAAGTAGGAGGCCGAGGGATCTCCTAAATTAAAATAATCAATGATTTACTATGGATTAGTAGTTTCTTCACAAACTTCTATCGCGTATTATATTCTTATCCCAGATTTACTGTTTGTATCTTATTTACACCACTGTAGAATTCATTAAATGAATTTACACATATATTGTTCAAATTTAATTGATATTACATTGTTGCCTGGGCGTAGGCGGGAGGAAGTAGCAAGGTGATAAAATTAAAAATAAACACCCACAATATTTTAAAAAAATTTATGAAGAAATAAGTGTCAAGGAAAATTGGTAATTAATATTTTAAAAGTTTTAAATAAATTGATATCTTAAAAAGGACAACCTGTATATAAAACTAATAAAATTTAAATAAATTACCTGCTTCCCTTTTAAGAGAATTAATTTTGAGCTTCTATGCCCTTTGGTTGTTGTACTTAGACAAGTATTATAATGGTTAGATTGGGAAAGTCTGATCATTTCCCTCATATATTTGTTTAAAACTATTATATCTGCGTAAATTTATTTTATATTGTAGCAGTAAATTTGTTTCGAAGATTAATAAAAAAAGTTAGTTTAATAAATAAAGAGTATTAAAAAAAATATATCTTTTCCTTTTATAGCTGACAACCGCAAGTCTCTATGCTGTCGCCACCAAAACCGCTTAGTGTGTCATTCTTCCTCTCTGCTCTGTCACAGTTATAAAAACTATTTAATGTCAGCTATTCTTTATCAGTAATTTTAGGAAGATGTAGTTATACTGCCTGGTTCTGCCATAAATACTGTCACAAAAGTTTGTTTACATCCTTGGGCATTATTTAGATAATCCTTACCGGTTATTTTCTTTAAATGTCAGGATAATAATCCCTATTGGTATGTATTTTTCTTTCGCTGAGTTAACATAGAGTGGGGCGATGAAGAAAACCGAATAGCTGTGATCGCTTTAAACAAAGTCGCAAAATGTAGATCCGAGATTTTCAACACTTTGAAACCTTTGGGTATCAATCTTATGTTTGTATACCGCACTATAAATAGATATAGTAAGTCCATATCTGTATGTGAGAGGCGGCAAATGCAGTGTGAGCAGTGGTGTTCGAATCAGAAGAAGTCCCATTCGAAAACAACAAATCATGTCTCGGGAAATGGGAATCTCTGTCAGATCAATGGCTCGCATAATTAAAAGTGACCTTAAGATGGCTGCATTTCGAAGAATAACAGGACAAAGGCTAACCACTTCCCTAAAAAAAAAATAGAGTGGATAGATGCAAAATGGTCTTCATCGAAAGATTTTGTTTAGCGATGAGAAAATGTTTACAATTGAAGAAAAATGTACTCACCAAAATGATCGTGTGTACGCACACAGCTCTAAAGAAGCCCAGGAAGTCATTGGAAGAGTAGAATGAATTCGTCACCCTTCCCCAGTGATGGTTTGTTGGGGGATTTGCTTTGATGACACCACAAAGCTCCATTTTTGTGAAAAAGGAGTTCACAAAAATGGAAGATGGAAGAAGGAAGGAGAAAAACAGCTGGAATTATCAGGACGATATTTTGAAACCTGTTGCCAAGCCTCTGAATGATACTTTGTTTGCTGGAAGTCATTGAGTTTTCCAGTAGGATCCCGCTCCAGCTCACAAGGCCAGGTCAACTCAGCAGTGGCTGCAAAAGAACATCCCAGAGTTCATTTCTGTATCGGATTATCCCTCAGGAAGCCCTGATCCCACTAGATTATCGGTTTTGTTCCGAACTGGAGAGGATGGCATGCGACAGAGCACACCCTAACTTGGAAAGGCTCAAACAATCTCTGGTCCGAGTAGTTGAGCGCTTTCCTCAAGAAGTACTGCGTGCTGTTATTGATGACTGGCCACGGAGATTAAATGCCTGTGCCAAGACAAAAGGGAGACACTCTATAGATATACATTTTATTTTTTTTTTTATTAATTTTTATGTTGAAATCTGTATTTATTTTCTTGTAACAATATTTATCACGTGACTAGGTATATTTCGGTACAATCTTTTAGGATTTTAATTTCGTATGATGGCGTACATATTGAAGGCTCGACTAGACAATTTCTAGGAGAATGGATCCAGATTATGAAAGAGGAAGAATGGCAGATCCTTAAACGTCAGTATTGGGCAGCTGCTAGTGCCGCTTGATGCCCTCTCCATCCTACGTGATCTGACTAGGCCGTCTCCTTATAGAGGGTTCTACGGATCGAGATATTCCAGAGCGGGATTTTTCGTTCAATCATTTTATATTAGGATATCGGATTGATCTGTACTAGACTTTTGACTATTTTGAGGATATCCAAAATTCATTAGGGTAATAATATTGTTAAACAACCATTCTCTGGTTAGATGATTAATTCTTAATGAGAGTTCAGGAGCATCACGAAATTTTAACTGCGGAAGTGTTTGTTTGCACAGAGTTTTGAGTCTCTCTCGCTTGAATCAGTTTCGCCACAGTAGTGGAGAATCTAATTGTTTTCTTAAAGGGTGAAAAGTGAGAGCTTTCGTACATGTAAATACATATTGTGTTGTTTTTTTTTTTTTTATATCATAAATGTTGATTCAATGGAAATTGTTGAAAAGTCTGTCTGAGTAAATTAATTCATTTGTACCTTTTGTGATTGTAGTGTCGTTAGGATTTCTTATGATCATGCGATCAAGAGCAGAGAGGGAATTATTCATTTCACATTCTTCAGTAAAGTGGAGGCGAGGTTGGCTGGAATTGAAGGTTGATAAGCTATCAGGAATATTAGTCTGATTCCCAAAGTTGCCGAAAATCTCATTCACCGAAGTCTTTCCCTCTCCGATTCACATTTTCATGAAACTGACATTTATCGTATCAAAAAAATCCTTTCAGCTAATAAGTTGCTTCTTAATAAATGTTCTAATTTGATTATTGAGTTTGTTCGACATATTATCATTAGTTTTTTTAATACCTCTGCACTTTGCTGTACAACAATATCGCATTTACTCCTGGCAAATATTATAATTATTAGAGCATTGTCGACATCTAACCACCCCACTTCCCAACCCTCGTGGGAGTGTATTGAAGAGACAATGGAAATCTCAAGCTGCCTAACAGGGAACTATTATTGTGGTATAGGAGCCACGGTTTGACAGGAAGGATGTGGATATCGGAGAAGAGAAAAGCGCATTTTTTTTATTCCGGAGCGGGCAAACGTTGAGGTGGTATTGTCGTTAAGAAAGGGCCCTGGTTGAATGGAGCTGGGATTCCGCCCCATTGTCCACGGGGTCCCTTGGCGATGGATGTGGTTAAAGGTTAGCCCGCTGTTGCTCCACATCATTAGATCTAGATGTTGACGGCCTCCTTGCGGCTTAAGTTTTCTTTACGGAGCTCTCTCTCTCCCTCTACTGTTGTATTTATATTGTCTGTTGCGGGTACATTTAAATAGTTAGGAGTTCTTTAATTTTCAATATTTCATTTAGTTCTCCTTCTGGTTCGTCTGTTTATTTAAAATACTTAAATTTATTGAAGAAAAAAATAAATGAAAATAAGGTGTTCTGTCTGTTAAACTTAAAAGTTTTGTGTTGACATAAACACAAAGTTATCGGGTTGTCCGGATATTCATACAGGACACTTATGATTTTAAAATAGATTAAATATACGTTATTAGTTTTATTAATCAAAATACGTTCCATTACTCTCGATACATTTCTGTCAACATGTTGCTGACTTTTTCATTTTCTCTGAAAAGAGCGTTGAACCATTATTATTGAAAAATTGTCAATAAAATGTGTCTGGAGAGTTTCACATGTGAGTTTTGTTTCTGTTTCTTCAAAGAAGTGCAGCAGAAACTTGATAACGAACATTTTTTTTTTGGCGGTCGTTTAATAAATGGGGAATCCAAGTTTCTGACTTTCTTACCTCTTTAATTTAAAGCGATGGTCGATTTGTTATCTGAGAGTTTCTCTGTAAGTTCCCCAACAATTGTTCTAAGATTTTATACGACCAAAGCTCGCAGAACATCGTCATAAATGGTATAGAGTCCTCCTATGAATATCTTTGTCTTCAAAGTCGAAGTCTCCCTCTCGAAATTTTTGAAAATATCGTTGAATGGTGCACTCACTCGTACTGCCGTCGCCACAGTCTTCGATAATGATCATGGCAATTTGAGAGCTGGTCCGACCAAATATTAAAACGAAATTATGCGAAAATCATGTATTCACATATTAGGAAAGACAGAATTATATCCAACTGGAGGAATGGTACAGAATATGAAGTAATTTTTATTTTGAAAAGGATTTATATTTGTTGACAGACATACAAAATAATGATCACTCAATCAGAAAGTTTGTTCTATGTAGGTTTAATGTTAAAGAAAACATGAAAACCACATAATTTTACGGAAAGCCTCTTGCATTAGTCACATCTGCGTTACAAGTTGATGGGAAAACTATAAAAGCTGTCATTAAATTCCTTTTAATATTGTAAATCAGTGTCCTAGATTTAATAATACAGAGCTATCTTAATTCTACTCCTTTATTCTTTATTTATTTATTATTACGTTTTCTCTTATTTTTTTTTAAATAATTGTAAATTATAAAAACTTTGGGTGTTGATGAGCATGATGATTTATGCCCTGAAGTCCTATAAAACAGACAACTTTAATCCAACCACAATGTTACGTCGATGAATGTTGTAGAAGTATATTATAGAAAAACATTGATGTTTTCTGTGATCCGTATGCAACGTCAAGCAATAAAAGTATTTCTAATTTCGTTAAAACAAATATGCATTATTAATTACTATTATATACACTAATGCGGTAACTATTTACACTGATGGTAATATTCAAACATGTTTGATATATTTTGTTGACACTAAAAATGTAAAAAAGACAAGACTAACATATGTATTATTTTCAGGTAAGATTCTATTTGCCAACTGTGTGGAATTGGAGAGGCAGTAAGTTTTAATCAATATATATATTTTCTTTAGTTAATTGCATAGACATGAGAAGGATCATGATAATGATAAGAGTAAGTCAATTGTTCTTCTTGTTAAAAAATTAAAATGTACTTTAATGATGTATGTATATTATTTAAGAAATGATTATATAATTAATTATCAGTGTATGGTATACATTATTGTTAAATTACGTTTATTAAGCATTAATTTTCCGCACACAAAACGATGACTTCTTTTTAACTACTAATGTCTACATTTGTTCATTAAAATAGGACAAATAAATGTTTTCCCTTCATTAATTTAATTTACTACTACGAAAAAAAAAATATCAGGGGTTAAATTTCAAGTTTAGAATTCTGTTCAAGATGAACCAGCATGGCTCGTTTGCATTTAGAGTCCGCTCTTGGATTTGTTTGCTTATCATTAATTTAACTTTATTGAAACAAGCGAATTGTTTCAAACTTTTCAATTAGTCTATGGTACTGTACAATGAACGAGTTAAAAATATATATTCACCCACAAAAGATGTCTATGGATCCAATTAAATTTGGAAAAGCGTAAAATCAACATGAAATGTGGTAACATGGATTTATATCATTTGTGATTTTTTTTAATTATGTTGGTTTTACTGTGTTACTTTTTTTCTAAAACTTTCATGACTATCTTTAAAATGTTCTCAAAATTCTGTATTTTTTCTTCAGAATTAGGTAAATGAATTGAAACGCTGTTTTTTTACAAGAAAGAGAATTAATATTTTATTCCTTGTGAAGCTCTTGGAAGCCCTTTATTTCTCGAATTTCTCTAAAATCTGTTGAAAAAAATGTCTTCAAGAGTTTTACTAATAATTACAAATAGAATAACATTGGAAAAAATCATGTTCAAAGAAGCATTATATGCTATCTGCTAAAAAAAAATATATATATATTTTAAGTTACATGATTTTCACGAAATACTCTCAACAACAATAAATATTTTTTAGAACTCACAAAAATTAACAATGAAATGAAATAACTAATGAAAAAAGAAGTTATTATTAATTGTTATGAAGTATCAATAAAATTCATAATAATAAATTCTTTTTATTCCATTATAGTAAAAAGTGTTTTATAAATTGAGCACATTACACCATATTTACAGAAATAAAAAAAAAATTAAGTATTAACAATATAATACATAGATATGTGTCGAAAATAATATAAATAAGTTAGATAAAGTATTAATAAAATGTACTTAAAGTAAAATTAACATCTTGGACACAAGCTTCGAACCAATCTTTGTCTCCCCACTTTTAGAGGAGAAAGGGAGGCATAGGAGATCACTGAGCTTCTCCCTCAATCTCTTAACTGGTATTAAAAACCAGCGGAGTCTGAATAAGGGCTCAAAAATAAAAAGTAAAAAAAAGAAAATATTCCAATTTTTCACTTGAATTTAGTTCGTGATATGGACTAATTTTAATTAATATTGTTGACTAATAATTTATTATTTTCAATTAATACATTATGTCGAAATAAAATTTTTTTCCTGAATCACAATTGTTTTTAGGAATTAATAAGGAACTTGATTCACGAATGTTCATTAAGTACTCTATTACTTGTACTAAGGGTAACTTCATTTTCAAACTAAGTCGAGTTAAGTAATCATAGTTTTAATGTTGATATTTTAAAACCCGTTTCAATAAATCAACAGCGATGACCCTAATGCTAAAGAGTTTTAATTTCAACTGAAAGATAACTTCCTAATCTTTTAATTACTTTAGCTCTACTTTTTAATCTTTATCATCTCAGCTAGATTAAATAGGTATCTAAATTCTTAAAAATTACTAAGTTTTTAGTTGTTAATGTAGGGTTATGCAAGGCTTCAGCAAGAAGTCGCGTTGTTGAGTTTTAAATCATCTTTATTATCTACTGTTATCGCAGCAACCCTAAAATTCCGAGTTTATTTTTTATATCTAAAATATCTCTCTTCTCATACATATTTGTATGAATTTTAATGCTTATTATTTCCTTACCGAGTCTTCAATAATTTGAAACATTACTAAAATCTTCATGTTAGGTCCAAAAATAATTTTATGAACAATTTGTCAGTTTTTTAATCACTATGAAGTTTTCAGTTCTCCATTGCAATCATCCTCATTCAGTTTATTTTTTTGAGGTGGAACTTTTTCAATATTTCATTTAAATCTTTTTAATCTTTCCAATCTTCTCCATCAATATGCACTCATCTCTCTCTCTCTATAATCGTCGATGAATGAAAAGAAATCAGCTTCGGTATCGCACACAATAGTAATTATCCCCAGCCTAAGTGTAAATATTTTCGTATGAATGGATGAACTGATAAATTTAACATTATACAATGTGTTATTTTTTCAAACTAATAATTACTCCTTATACATTCAGATTTAAATACTAATTTGCCAAATTTTGAAATTAAAATACTCTATATTTTAGTATTATATATTGTACAATACATTATATATTATATAATACTCTTACTCGTAATTATTTTAAAGCTTAATATAAAGTTTTATACCAAATAGGTTTTTGGATTATGTTTTTCGGTCTTTTATAATTCTTCCAAAATGATTGTAAACCCATCTTCGTTCTTATTTCTCATCTTTTCCTAATAGTTAATCCTCATGCCTTATCTAATGCTTAAATTTTAACATAAGGAATGTATAGAGTTTCTGTTTCTTGGATCAGTGACTAAAGATAACTTATTGCATAAAGATAATTAAAAAAAAAAAAAATATATATATATATATATATATATATATATATATATATATATATATATATATAATTCCAACTAATTCTCTGCCATTAGTCCCCGCCCTCGCCCCCTGTCGAGTAAATCCCCGTAAAGCCTTAATGGCGAGGAAGGGGAGGACCAAAAAATAAAAATTCCTACTCAGAGTAGTTCGTAAGGATTAAGAATTTCCACATTGAAAAAGCATAATTTTTATAATAATGAAAACTTCTCCTATTTAAATTGTATTTTATCTATTTATGTTGTTTCCCTTATCCAAAATATTTTGATTAACCATGTTGATTAAGTAATTCCTCTGCAATTGTACTATCGTGATATGATTGATTATTTTTCTTCAGAAACACAAATGACAGCGCCGTGCATTAATGAATCCAGGATTTAATTTTTGGGGAATGAGGGCTTCAGCCCGAAAAGTTTATATATGTCAGGTTTATATATATCAATCTTGGTCTTGCACTTTGTAAGACCAAGACCAAGGCCACCTAACTGTTGCTAGACCAAGACCAGGGCTGATACAAAAAATAGTTTTTTTTAAATACAAATTAAGGCAAAATCGTTACAAATACTTGACAATCTTAGTTACTATATGTTAATAATTGGCATAACCAAAATACTTTAGCATTTAACTCCTCTAATTTTTCATTCGGGCATAGTTAGGTTTCTAAAAAAATAAATAAGCTAATAAGCAATTCAAGACTGTTGCGAGACTATTGCGCAAGACCAAGACCATGACCAAGACTGAGTTTGCAAGACCAAGACTCGTCTCGGTCTCGCATTTGGGCAGCACTAATTGTAAGGATTGGATACGAGAGGACATAGAGCTACATAGCTCGATTTCCTAAGTCCAAATAGGTCTTATTATAGTCATGTATATCTTTTGTAATTCATTGGAAGTTTAGAGCGTTTGTCTAATAAGTGCTGTAGTAGTAGGGAACGTTGAGAGGTTTCTTGTTGGAAAAGTAGAATTAGTGGGCATTTAATAAGGGTGACATGTTAATTTTAAAAGTTCTTTGCGAAAAATGATTATTACAATGCTGTTATAAAATTTCCTTCTTAATCTAAGATATTTCTTTTAGATTTGTAGATCCTTCATAGTTTGTATTTTTTTTAATTGTTTGATTTTTTTTAATATGGAATAGTATATTTAAATATTATAACTGTATAAACCTAATCACAGAGGTTGAAGCTGTGACAACACAGGCCAGGAGGATAGAGGTGAAGTGGCCAGCACCGCAGCGGGGGTTGGAAACGGGAGACGGTGTCAGGGGTCGAATTGCAAGATAAAAGGATAACGACTGGATAAGGCTCATTAAGGGAGTTAGTAATGGATATCCTCCTTTCTAACCACCTTCAAGGCTTCTCTCCATTTATCGAAGAATATTTCATTTTTATAGTAACAAAGTAATTAGTATAGAAGAACTTATATATTGTGCAGCAACCATAAAGAAAATTGTATCCTAATTTTTATAATATAGAAGGTATAAGGTTACTATAAACCACTCATTTCTTTTTTTTTTTTTTTTTTTTTTTTTTTTAGTTATCTATTTATTAAATTTACTCACCGATCGATTACGGTTTTCTAAACACAAAATTATCTCACAATTTAATTACAACAATAATAAAATCTTTTCCAAAATATGTTCGATTTAATATTATTTTCAGCTTCTATTAGTCATTTTCAAATAATTTAAAATAAAATCAAAGTCACGAAAATACATTTTTTTTTACACTATTTAAGTATCATGCTTTTTATTTATTTCAGTAAAAACAGCTTTCCTGAAAATTCTTTTAATGTAACAATAATTTAATAAGCTGTTTAAATGAAATGTCTAATGTATATATATTTCGTATGAAGTTATAATTCATAAATAAAAAACTTAATTTGGACAAAATTCATTTCATCACAAAGAACTGTAATTTAAAAAAAAAAACGTAGATTAGACTCTCATCTAAAACTGTTAAAGCGCCTTTATAAGATTTATTCTATTTTTTATTGTTTTTACATAAAGTTTAAAATTTATATTTTGCGAACTTTATGCCTAATTTTTTTTTATACATAATCGATTATTGGTTTAATGTAATATGGCATAAGTATACTTGTAATGTAGAGTAATGAAGATCAAAGAAACATCCTTTATAGCCCTGGAGCCAGGGCCCAAAAATCGACCTGATCGCAGGCGAAGGTTTGATTGTAAATTACGAAAGTGTATGTTATTCTGAGTAAAAAGAACCTTGTCTGCCGTTCCAGAGCCGCTGCTTTCAAAAATGGCGGCTGATTTAAAGAATATTAGGCCAATAATTTAAGGATCGAAACGGGAAATCCATTTCGAAAAATGTGAGAAAAGTTTTTATTTTTTTAACTTGTATATATGGGTTTAGACATGTAAAAAACAAAATTGCTAACGCGGGCCACCAAGGGAAAACGTTTTACAGCCAAAAAAGTCAGATTTTTTTGATATTTTTTTGGATTTTGCACCTATAACTCCTAAACAATGCATCAAAGCGAAAAATGTATTCTTTAATAAATTAAAGGAAGTTAAATTTTGCTTCAAACGAGTACAGAAACTTTATAATTTGGTTACGCGATAAGGTATAAAACTACAGTCAACCAACGCTGAACTTTACCAAATTTGTCAAAAACTGATACAAATTACTATAAATGGCCGTATAACTTGGAAATGAATTCCCTAAGAGGAAAAACCCATAGAATCAAAGTTGTAGAGCATAGAATTTTGCGTCCATTGAGTACTGACATTTTTATTGTAGGCCAATTATATATCTTGAATCGGGATTCGTTAGTCCTTTATAAAATTCGGTATCTTTCGGCACATCGTTTACCAAAATCTTTTGCTGTTGAGAGGTGGAAAAGAGTTTTAAACAGTCAGTTTTAAACAAAACTGACTCAGTAGAAAAGACACCCATACTGTTGAAACATTGAAAATCAGGTTTACCTTCATTACCAATTTCTAACCATCGATAGATTACCGATTTTTTTCGCAGCCAGTGACCTACATTAAATTAGTTGGTACTCAGTGGACGCAAAATTTGATGCTCTACAACTTTGATTCTATGGGTTTTTCCTCTTAGGGAACTCATTTCCAAGTTACACTGCCATTTATAGTAGTTTTTCTCAGTTTTTGACAAATTTGGTAAAACTCAGCTTTGGTTGACCGTGGTTTTATACCTTACGGCGTAACCAAATTTTAATGCTTATGTGATCGTTTGACGCAAAATTTAACGTTCTTTAATTTGTTAAAGAGCACATTTTTCGTTTTAATGCATTGTTTAGGAGTTATAGGTGCAAAATCCAAAAAAATATCAAAAAAATCTGACTTTTTTGGCTGTAAAACGTTTTCCCTTGGTGGCCCGCGTTAGCAATTTTGTTTTTTACATGTCTAAACCCATATATACAAGTTACAAAAATAGAAATTTTTCTCACATTTTTCGCAATGGATTTCCCGTTTCGATCCTCAAATTATTGGCCTAATATATTTTAAATCAGCCGCCATTTTTTAAAGCAGCGGCCCTGGAACGGCAGACAAGGTTTTTTTTACTCAGAATAACATACACTTTCATAATTTACAATCAAACCTTCGCCTGCGATCAGGTCGATTTTTGGGGTCTGGCTCCAGGTTCAGTTGATTTTATACTAAATACGAAAAAAACAATTTTAAATAATAAAACATATATTTTAGAGCTATTCATATTTATGGGACAGAATATAATTTAATGTTAATATAATCAATCAGTGCAAATAGTAATATGTTTTCAATTCAGTTTAATAGTATTAAATCGGCAATATATTAAAATCATCACACTTTATTAAAAGCATATATTTACTTTTAATATATGTATATTTATGAAAAGCAATTATTTTATTTGGTATTTATTGGAGCATTTATTAAGTTTTAATTAATTCTGTTATTACTAAAATAAAGGGAACCTTAAAACAAAATTACCCAGGTATTTATTTGTTGTAATTATAATGCTGAGATACAACTCAGAGGTATAACGTCGACACTACTGACATATTCTTCTGATTCCCATCGCTAACAATCTCATCTTAAACAATCCTTCCACCTACGGTCAGGTCACTTTAATAAACCGAACTTTTAGAGAAATTGAAGGACATTGTGGCCACATTGTTTTCTATTAATATTGTTAGGATTTGAATAATTTTTACCAGCACTTGTACAATAGGCCTGCCTTCTACAGGCTCTCATAAAATTTTTATGAGTATCAGTACTGATATTGTTGGAGGAAAGTACTGCATGTGGTCCTATTGATTCTATTTGTCGATTCTCAACAACCACTCGAGAATTGTTTACTTAAATAAATATTTACTGAATCAAGTGTGAATCGAACCCACACTCTAATGATACCCTCGGCTTCTTATATTATATCGCTATTATGTTATACATCGATTTTTTTTTAACTCGTAGCCATAAGTTAACTATTTTATAAAGATGTTTTTACCTCTTCGAAGCCCTCTTGAAATATTTTTATATCTGTTTTTTATTTTTTTTTTTATTTGCATCTTCTCTAAGGGTAAATAAAGATAGAGAAAGTACATAAAATTATCTTGTCACTATTTTCAAACAAGGCTGGGAAAATGACAAAGAGTTATTTCTGTCCACATTTACCGATACTGGCTCAGTCTTTTGAAAAACATGAGACGTCGATTGTTTTCGTGGTAAAAACTCTTATCTTCTAATTAGATATGAAATCGCTGTGCACACAGTTACCCAATGTTGTTCTCACGGCAGCCATTATAGTCCTTTCCCATGATCTAATGGTGTATTTGTTTATCATTTATAGTTTATTCTCCTTTGTCAGGAGGCATCATGCCATTGTTGGGTTATAAGGCCATCGTCTATTGTTCTCTCTTGATATCAAACATTAATTGACTAACTAGCATTAACACTCCATTGGTAAAAACAGGAATATATTCTCTTTTGTAATTCATTGTCTTTGTGACTATTATAACTTAAGACGTTCATAGCTGTTTTCGCAGAAGCTATATTAATGGAGAACTAGATGTTCCAATATATGTAATAATTATATTTCATTCCATCCTGTTATTGCTCAGAAATTTGTATTTATTGCTGCAATTTCTTCTTTAAATTTTTTTTGGTGAAAAAGTATGTTAAAATTTTCATTTTCTATAAAAATTAATTCTATTTTAATCCCTTAAATTACTCAAATCACTTCGAAATTTAAATTCTAATATTTTAATTTTTTTTTGGCTATTTTAAATTTGCCACTGCGTTGGAACGCATCATGCAAATGTGTTGGCGTTAATTATATCTTCTTGAATTCCTGATATTTTCTTAACTTTTCAGCAGATCTCTAGGCCACTGCCTTTTTAGTCGTCTTTGAGGCTCACCAGGTAATAGGGAGGAAGATAGAGATAGAACGAGTGGATTTGGATGATTGAGAGTAGAAGAGTGAAATGTTGTGTACTTGTGGTGTATGTAGGATTTTACTTTTGGTATGTTCATGTCTGTGTGTATGGTGTGATTTGAAATAAACCAAGGAGCGTTGACGATTTTATGGAGTATTTTGGATTGTGTGGTTTGAAGTTTGTTTATGTGTGTGTGTTTTGCGGAACCCCAGAATTCTGCTCCGTATGTCCAAATAGGCACGAATAAAAAATTATTTATTTAATTTTTTTAAATGGCTGCGTCCTGAATAATTATCACTCATGATATGTAGAACAGTCGACTAGCTTCCTTTAATTTATTATTTCAGATAACAACTGCAATATTCCATTAGATGTTCAGGTTATGATCATTAAAAAAATACAAAGAAAAAAAAGAACTAATTTGTATAAGAATCTGTTCAGCAACAAACTATCTCTTTATATGTTTTTTCAAAGTTTTTTTTTATACATTCGTTAATTCTTCATCTAATACAATAATCTACCCGTGATCTTGATTATTTTCTCTTTAAGATGCAAAATATAAACGCATCCTTCCAAAAAGTTGAGGGGAAACTTATGAGGAAAATTAAACATTAATTGCACAAAAATCAAAAGGTTAACAATTAATGTTGATAATTTCCATCATAATTAGAAAAGTTTTCAAATTCTTTATAAAATGAAAATTATCTAAATTGGGCCATTTTGGACCAACATATGGCCAATTGTAATTTGCACACTTGTGTTGGTTAATTAATTCGATTGAAGGTTAATGTCTCCCTATGTTAATATATTCCATTTTACTATACTGACATTTTACCACTGACCAATATAATTCGTACGGGTCTACTATTCTCTAATACAT